GATGCGCCTCCCCTTGGTGCTGCTGGCCCTCTGTCCGAAAGGGAGCCAGCTCCTTGGGACCCTCCCCTCCCCACGCTGGGCATGGGGGAAAGTGACACGCCCACCGGCCTCGGAGACCTGCTCATGGACCACTGGCCGGGCTGTCAGCACCCCCTGCTGCTCCATCCTGGGGCTGCACCTTCGCTCCCTGCCCCCTCCCTGCCCCAGGCCAGGCACTCCAGTCCCCATTTAAATCAGCCCAAACGCCCCGATCCCGCGCTCCTCCAGCCTGAGCCGCACCGGCCCCAGGGCTGTCAATGGCATGTTGTGTCGCCAGGCAGGGTCTGGCCGGGATCGGCGGGAACTCCATTCCGTCAGAAACGCCAGCCAGCACGCTCTGGTCCAGCCCTGCTGGGCACTAGCTGTGAGCACACGCAGACCTGAGCCATGGGGTTAGGCCCACCCGGAGATTTGCTTTGTACACCGAGCCGTCAGGGACGGGGAGTCCAGAGGCCAGGAGAAACGACTCTCCCTGGAGAGCTCCCGGACTGCTCCCAAGTGCACTGTGACCTGCCTTTTAGAACTAACTTTTACCAAACAGGTGGGTCATACGACCCCGACGGGATCATCACTTCCCCTGCAGTCTGGCTGAAATTACCTTGATCACATTCTGGGGAAGACCTCGCCCCCTCCTCAAATCCAAGGCAACGCCACGGCTCTTCCAAGAAATCCCAGCCCTGATGTGCTCTCAGTCTTGGGCCCAACACAGCTCCGCTAGCAGGCTCAATCCTGAGCAAGACACGAGGGCTGTGTCTAGACTGGCCACTTTTTTCGGAAAATCAGCCGCTTTTGCGGAAAAACTTGCCAGCTGTCTACACTGGCCACTTGAATTTCCGCAAAAACACTGAGGATCTCATGTAAGATTGTCAGTGCTTTTCCGGAAATACTGTGCTGCTCCCATTCTGGCAAAAGTCTTTTTCCGAAAAACTTTTGCGCAAAAGGGCCAGTGTAGACAGCAGAGATTTGTTTTCCACAAAAAAGCCCTGATTGCAAAAATGGCGATCCGGGCTTTTTTGCGGAAAAGCGCGTCTAGATTGGCACGGACGCTTTTCCGCAAAAAGTGCTTTT